GATGCAAATTCACAATTATGTAGTTCAATAATGTTGAGCTATTGGCATGGAATTCCAGATCTTTTGTCACCTTTTGCAGTGTAACATACTTACTTTAGAGAGAATGGTGGATGTTCAGGAATACTGAAAAGATTGGACTCTACATTGCAAATATTCATTCCTTTGTCCTACCCCAACATGAACAGCCTGGAAGATCTCGGTTCAAGCAATGTTATTCTGAGCAACTAGATTGACATAGATTTTCATATAGTTCATTCTTAAATCTTTCCATAACCCTTTTTTCCCTATATTGAATTCAATGTTTAAACGGGATTTCCCATTTATTGCTAATGACTGAGCTTTTTCATTAGTCAGGCAATTTAAACCCTCTTTCATTGGTTAGTGTTTAAATCTATTATATAAATTCAAGAAAATTCTTAATTTTCTTGTAAAAATTAAGAGCCTGCTGTTCTTGTTCTATGGCTAATTAAAATTCAGTTTTATACCAGGTGTCATTTCCTTTTTCTGTTCTATTCTGTTTTATTCTGAAATGTATTTTGCATTTCCTTGTCAGCATTTTTACTAATATATGCTATCTACAGTATGTTTCATCATCGTGTGGGTTTCTTAATTTGTTTTCACAATGCACTGTGAAAATGTGTTTTAATTTGTGTGCACACTGTTGAAACTGTCACAGATTCATCCTTCTCTGATGGCAGTTCTCTTCTGCATCTTCTCTTTAATTTGGCAACCTTGTCGACCATGACTTAATGAATTCTGTCATTTTGAATAGATTCTGCCCACCAATTAAAAGCTAAATTTGTGATCTTTCTTCTGTTTATACAATTATCAATATACAATGCCTCAGTGTAACTTTTGCTATTCTTGAGATGGTTAATAAGAAGCTTCTGTTTCTGACTTCAGGTTTGACCCCAAGTCAAATTTAAAAAAAAAAATATCTGTATTAACTGAGGCTGTGAACCCTGTGGTCACCTTCAGATGTTCTTCATGAGACATTTTAAAACAGTGGTTCTCAAGCTGTGGGTCGGGACCCCATTTGGGGTCAAACGACCATTTCATGGGGGTCACCAAACAACGCAGTCCGCCATTTTTCCCCCTTTTCCTTAGCTGTGCTACTCCCTTTTATTCTATTGGCTTTTGAAAGCCAATAGAATAGACTCTCTTGAATAGAGTCTAATTCTATTGGCTTTCAAAGCCAATAGGAATTGTCCAGGCTGTCTCTGCCCTGCTGAGCCCGCCAAAAGTCCCATTCTGCAAACGGTGCTGCACCAATTGAGTAGTCCTCGACTTATGACCGGTTGGGGGTCACGGCATTAAAAAGGTTGAGAACCACTGTTTTAAAAGATCTCTATCAAGGAAATGAGAGAACTGATGTTTAGTAACAGTGAAATATTAAGTTGGTCAATTATCTAGGATTGCAGTGTTCTCTTCTCAGAAGATGCTTTTTGTGAATACAAAATTAGGGGAAATTCTTACATGTGCCATCTTGGTCTCTCAGATGGAAGGTGAGATGAAATACTGTAGCTAGATAGCTGAGTAGACATTATTTGCTTTGGAATTCTCTTCTTACAGTGATTCCCTTAATGCATTCACTAGTCTACTTTGAAATGGTAGGTGCTAGACTCAAATTTTAGCTTGTTCACCCCAGGATGTAGTAGTTATTTCACATCTATTGTTTCAAATTCTGAACAGTTGAAGCTGGTTATAAATGTATTTCTGCTGTAATAATTACAATTAAGGGGCTCAACATCTAGACTTAGATTGATGTCAATATCCTTTATCAGAAACTCAAAGAATATCAGCTGAGTCCTACAAAATACAGAAGGGAGAAAAGGGCTCTGGCAGGATTTAAAGATGTCAGTTCTAGGAATCAGACAACACTTCTTCAAGTTACAAATGTATTCATGTCTGCTTCTTTATACATGCAAAAGTCTTCATAATCACAGCACGTTGTTGCCGTAATTAAAGCTCCCTTTTTCTCCAAAACATTGCACCTATCACCTGGGACAGTGCATCCTCTTTCTCCAGTATGGGGTGTTTCTTCTGTAGAAAGATAAAAAAAAAAAAAGATCAGTGCATGCAGAACACAGCAAGTGCTGATGAAGCTAATCAAGATAATGTAAAATGCCCTCTCCAAACTATATGAAAGACCTTCTCCTGCATGTTTTCCACCTGTTTTCATTCACTTTATGGTGGAAGAATTTGCTTTATCTCCCAAAAGAAACTTTAGAGAATTGCCCATAGTTCACGTTTGTGATTGTGGTTGATGTAGTAACAAGGCCATGGTTTTCCCAGTTGCAATGTATGGCTGTGAATGTTGGACTATAAGAAAGGCTGAGCATCAAAGAATTGAGGCCTTTGAACTATGGTGCTGGAGAAGACTCCTGCGAGTCCCCTGGACTGCAAGGCGATCAAACTGGTCAGTCCTAGAAGAGATCAACCCTGACTGCTCTTTAGAAGGCCAGATCCTGAAGTTGAAACTCAAATACTTTGGCCACCTAATGAGAAGGAAGGACTTCCTGGAGAAGAGCCTAATGCTGGGAAAAATTGAGGGCAATAGAAGAAGGGGATGACAGAGAATGAGGTGGCTGGATGGAGTCTCTGAAGCAGTAGGTGTGAGCTTAAATTGACTCCAGAAGATAGTAGAGGACAGGAAGGCCTGGAGGAACGTTGTCCATGGGGTTGCGATGGGTTGGACACAACTTTGAAAATTAACAACAACAAGGAGTACAAGTAAGGATATGGATCCTATCTTTCATCATCTGTCTACACTTAGCAGCATCCCTGGCTTCTCATGCTTCATCTCAAAGAAAAACCTCCTCATAAAACCTCTCCCAAGCAAGAAACAATATCCTAATCAAGGAACTACCCAAGAGAAAACCACATCTCCGGCCACACTGTTAGAGCAAGCTACGTATATACACAGAGAACAAAACTCATACTCAATAGCACTGATGTCATAGTCAGGTAATGAAATGTCTATAAATAAACAAAGCTCAGAGAGCACCAAATACTCCACAGTTCAACCCAGAGCTACATATAGTCTTTTTTATTGGAATTAATTATATATTATTAGTGAACAGCCACCTCATCTTATTCCATCGTTCCTACATGATGCCATGACCCACAATTGTGGTTTACTTAAAAAAAAGAAAATTGGAGGCCCAGTTTAGAAGGATGACATTACTATTAAGTTTCTCCTTGGTAATTAAAAAAAAATAACAGCAGCATGGGACAGAGGAATATATAGTTCAAAGTTATTATAAATCCAGGAGTACTGAAAGCATTCCAAACATGAATAATATTAATTTATGGCCATTTTTTTCTCTGAGCATTTTTGGAAAAGATAACTGGCATGGCCAGTGATCTGTAAGCAACAAATGATCATTATCACCAATCAACTTGACCTTGTTTAGCAACAACATTTTTATCCTTAACTGATATCAAAGAGATATACAGTAGTGGCCAAAATTGTGGAAACCTTTTGGGAAACGTGTACAGTAGAAATACCACCTTTGGTTAAGTTTCCACCCATTTTTCTTCTAATTTCTTTATCACTGTAGCCTTGTTCACTTAATAATACTATTTTACATCACTTTCTGGGTAACCAGTCAACTCTGCACCATGACTTCAATTTTATTACGTTTTACAAGCTCACTAAATGAAAGGACACAAAAAAAACCAACTAACTTGATAGCGATCACATAACACACTGACAAATGTCCTCCTCTCAGCTTCAATGCATGACATCAATAACTGAATCCTACTGTGATCTGATTGGCTCATTGCCAAAACAAGATGACACCTGATTGGCTCTCTAAACATTCATGCTCACTGGCTACAATCAGATGAAGGAAAGCTACCTGATATCAACCTAAGCAAGTTGTGATTCCTTTTTCTGGTTATTTGGCTCTAACGTTTCATAGAATACTGTACAGATAATTGAACAAACTTTGTTGCATTACATTCTTGATTAAATTATCTTTCCATTGACATATAATTTTATGGTACTACTAAAAAAAGTGGTGTTATTAGCCATCAAACCTTAAAAATACACTTTTCCCAAAAGGTTTCCACAATTTTGGCCACTACTGTATGTTGATAAACTAAATCGTGGAATATAAACAGGCTGATGAGCTTAACCAATAAGCAAGACAGACACGCATTAATACCCATCTGTATCTGTTGGGAGCAAACTTACTTGCATAATATTTAACAAATTTGCAGAATTGTCCTGGCTCAGCCACACAGACCCCTTTTCCTTTGAGGCAACCAGTTGTAGAGTGGTAGCGTTTGCACACATGGCATTTGAGGGCATCAACTGCAGGATCAGGAAGAAAAACAATCCTTTAGGAATCTAAAATTAAATAACTAACTATTTCAGTGTCATACTCTCAGAGTTGTGTGACATAGCTAGTATAAACTCAGTGCAGTGCTCATGAGTTTATGTATAGGCAACAGTAGTTAAATGGCAACCCTGTTTCAGAAATCAGCTTAATCCATTTACTTGACCAGATAAATCCAGTAACTGATGAATACTTTCCTACTGGTATGAGGAGAAGTTCCTGTTGAGTTTGGGAAAATGACTTCCATGATTACTCGTACTTTATGGCCAGCGACATAAATCCATCTTTACTGCCCTAGTGAAATAAAGGAGGAACACAAATTTTGCCATTGTTTGCACAGGATTATTGTTACTCACCGAGAATACAGCAAAGCAAAACTAAAAAGCTGGGAAGCAGAATTTTAACCATCCTCTAGGTCCCCTGTGAGGGATAAGCAGGCCGAAGAGCAAACCTCTTTCAAATGGAAAAGAGATCCTAGGAGGAGAGAAGAAAGCAGGAAAACGTTCTTGGATACATGTTCACCCATGTAAGCCACAAGCAGCCCTGATAGTCAACAAGAGGGATGGAATTCCAGCTGCAGTTTGAAAGGAACCCAACTTCCAAAGGAGGGGTTAAAATTCCAGGACAGTTAAGCAAGAAGACTGGCGTTCCAAGCGGTTATCAGACGGGCTGTCACAAAAGCATGAGTTTTAATTGACTGTAAACTGTCAGTGCATTTGGGTGTGGGATTCACCCACAATGGTAAGTGGTCCCTTTTCTCTATCAAATGAGGCTGTGATATTGGTTGACTGGTACAAAAGGCTACTACTGTCTGTGGATCAACCAAGCCACATACCCCAAAATCACCAGTTTCACAGACGTTGCATTTGCTGCCAGTAGGTTTCCGAAGTTAAATTCCAGGTACTTGGAATTACTTATTAAGCTATATGAAAAAGGTCCTCCTTATCTTTGGGACTCACCGTCTATTTCTCTGGTCAAGAAGCAAGCTAGCTGTGAATCCTTGCACAATAAATCAAGGGAAGGGCACTCCAGAAAGAGATGTGCTTAATCATGGTACCTCGCTTTGGGATAGCCTGTCTCCTGAGGTGAGGGTGGCCCCTTTCCCAATGGGCCTTTAGGCCAAAAGGGGTAAAATAATTTGAAACAATCATGCTAGGAAGATTATTTCTTTGGTTCAGAGGCCAAATGATGCGTTCATTTTGTCTGGATATCTTTTAGCAATAGCAACTTAGACATATATACTGCTTCATAGAGCTTTATAGCACTCTCTAGGGCTAGGTGGTATACAGAGTCAGCATCTTGCCCCCCAACAATCTGGGTCCTCATTTTACAGACCTCAGAAGGATGGAAAGGCTGAGTCAACCTTGAGCGGGTCAGGATTGAACTCCAGGCTGTGGGCAGAGTTTGCCTGCAATACTACACACTAATTTTAATCTTGGATATGTTTTGGTGTTTCATTGGGAGCTAGCTAGAATATTTACAGGATAGGGGTACAGCTGGTCCTTGTTTAGCAACCACGATTGAGACCAAAACTCAGTCATTAAGTGAAGCAGTCAATAAATGAAATCACCAGACAATCTCACTTCAGCTTTCTTTTCCTTTACAAACCCACGAAGGTCATAAATGTGAAAACTGGTTGCAAAGTTACTGCCAGGCCCAGCCCAAGAATGACACAAGAATGACATTGCAGCCAAAATTCAGTTCTTTATTTGCTCATACCATATAAACAGAATCTTGCCAGACTAAACCTATGCTACTTATAACTGAACAGATATACCTTGGGAGAGTCTAGGGAGTGGTTATCTTAAATTCCTTCCTCTTTCTCTGATGCAACTCCTGCTGCCATTGCCTTGTCTTCTTAGAATGTGCTTCCCCCTTCATAGATACATTCCATCACAGTTACTTTTTTAATGGTGGCCATAACTGCCAATAGTCATTAAAAGAGGCTTCTACTAATATTTCATTGCAGCTCCAAGGAAAGCTTATCTATTGCTGAAACTTTTTCAATCAAGATGAAGGTTTTCAGGATAAGGATACAAACAATACAGTAAACATAAGGAACAGTTGCTGGAATTGGGTATGTCTAATTTAATGAAGAGAAGGATGAGGGGGGACATGATAGCAGTGTTCCAATATCTCAGGGGCTGCCACAAAGAAGAGGGAGTCAAGCTATTTTCCAAAGCGCCTGAAGGCAGGACAAGAAGCAAGGATGGAAACTAACCAAAGAGAGAAGCAACCTAGAACTAAGGAGAAACTTCCTGACAGTTAGAACAATTAACCAGTGGAACAACCTGCCTCCAGAAGCAGTGAATGCTCCAATACTGGACATTTTTAAAAAGAGACTGGACAGCCATTTGTCTGAAATGGTATAGGGTTTTCTGCCTGAGCAGGGGATTGGACTTGATGACCTCCAAGGTCCCTTCCAACTTTGTTATTATTATTATGGATCATCGCACAGTCAGCCAGATGTTCAGACTGGATTTGGCATTTTGTCTACCTATCGAGTCCTTACCAAGGACCTGGGATAGGCAGATGTGGATGTTTGATGGTATTACAGATATTGTCGCAAGATGGAAGCAGTTCCTAGTAAGGCCGCCTTTTGCAATTGACTAATGGCAAATTTGTCAATGCCAATGGTGTTCAAGTGGTGCTCCAGTTGTTTTGGGATTGCACCCAAGGAGCCTATTACTATTGGTACTACCCTTGCTTGCTTTTGCCACAGTCTTTCTATTTCTATTTGTAGGTCTTTGTATTTTGTTATCTTCTCCAGTTCTTTCTCGTCTATTCTGCTGTCTCCAGGCACTGCCACGTCCACTATCCAGACTTTTTTGTCTTTCTTATCGACAATTGTTAAGTCTGGGGTGTTATGTTGCAGATGCTTGTGTGTTTGAATTCTGAAGTCCCAAGCAGTTTAATTTTATCATTTTCTATGACTTTCTCTATTTTATGATCCCACCAGTTCTTGCTTACAGACAAATGATATTTCTGGCAAATCTTCCAATGCACCATAGTTGCTACTTTGTCATGCCGCTGCTTGTAGTTAGTCTGTGTGATCTTCTTGCAGCAGCTTACCAGGTGGTCCACTGTTTCTTCAGCTTCTTTGTATTATTATTATTATTATTATTATTATTATTATTATTATTATTATTATTATTATTATTAAACATTTAACAGAGTGTTAAAGTTCTGTGCTTGCAGCTTTGTGTCCAAACGTATTCCCAGCCTAGGATTGGTTGCAGAAGTTCTGTACGCAACATTTGTTGATATGGCGGATGTATACTCCTCCGTCCACATTCTTGCAAGCCGGGGCACAGCCGGTCCTAGTATAAAGGAAAGCACGTTCTAGAAAAGAAGAAATACAAGTGAACATCCAATATTTTCCTTTTCACTCTTATAACAGTGGATGATAATGTTATTAAGCATGGATAATAATTAGTATCTGTAATATATATGGCCTATGCTAAAGACACATACTAATTCCTAGTTTATTGCCAAATTCTTCTGAAAGACCTATTGAAGACTTCTATCACTGATGCTTTAAAAAGGACATGGTGGGTTGACCAGCTACACAATTTTGACACCATTCACTAAGTCCAAATCAATCAAATTAGAACATGGTTTAGCAAAGCGCAATCGGCTGGCTATGCACACATGAGCAGCAATTTGAGAGACAAAGGGTCACATAAAGCCCACGTTGTGTTCAAGAAGTGGATCTGATTTAGCAGACTTTGTGGAACAGACTCATGCCTCACAATTGTCCAGGAGGCCAAAGTCTGGTCTAATGTGGAGTACTGTAGCATACATTGCTTATTGTCATCTCAGTGGCTTTCTTTTTGGCAATAGGGTTGTTCCATACTTACCTACAATGAGCTTCTGTCGGAAACAACTCTCTCCAGATCCTGCTTGGCAGTGTTGAGTTTTCATTCGACATGTGCCATTCATATACTCACGGTAACATTTAACGCATGTGAGGCCATCAACTGGACAAAAAAATTGCATTGTAAATAAATTCCAAAAGAGAGACTGAAAATTAAGATGTAGCACAGCCCAAATCAGTCTGGGGTACTAAAACGTAGGATGAACAGTTGTGGAAACAAGGAGTGTCTACTCTAGGCAAACTTGAAAAAGAGGACCACCCTACACAGTCCTTTCCACGATATAGGGACAAATTTGGAGATGGGGATAGGATTGAGAAAAGACATCAGTGTTAATTTACAACTCCTGGATCACTTCTATGTATTAAACATAGTGTGCATTAAGCTGCTTGAAAGCCAACAATCTTGTCAACTAAAATTCTGGTTCATGTATCACTCCTCTTTTCATGCTTGAGTGTGTATGTGTGTGTGTGTCGTTTGTGTGTGTGTGTGTGCGTAGCATGTGTGTTATGTATATGGGTAGATATCTACTTTCTTTTGAGAGCAGGCCCCAGAATTTCGTTTTTTATGGGTGCCAGTGTACTCACAATAAAAAATGACAATAAAGGTTATATTAATTTTAAACCTAGTATATTGTTCAACAGTTTGTGATTTGTCCAATATTTCAAGTGTAAGAAAAACGTAGAGAGTTTGGTGTAGTGGTTAAGGCATCAGATTGAAAGCAGGGAAACTGTAAATTCCAATCCCACCTTCAGCATGAAGCCAGCTGGTTGACCTTTAGCCAGTCACTATCTCTTAGTCCTAGAAAGAGGACAATGGCAAGCCACTTCGGAAACCCTGTCAAGAAAACTGCTTGTTATTTGTCCAGACAGTCGTCAGGAGCCAATACTAACTCAAGCAAAGCTTAACATAGGGATGGGCAGCCTAGTTTACATGAATCTTTTAGCTCTTGGTTTTATCGCTCTTTGTGCCCCCTCCAACAGAATCCCCGAATATTAGTTCTCTAGCATTTTGAGATGAGAAGCATGCATTTTTCCATAAGCATCATGGTTTAAAAATACCTAAACAAAAATGCCACCTCCTTCTCAATGATATGACCTGAGCTCCTTCACTTTATATCACTATCCTGCCCAATTCAGGTGTCATCCCCACCCCTCTCCAAAAACATCTCTAACACACCCAGTCCTTGACCACCACAAATTTGCCCAGCATCCTTTAGTGAAGCAGTTTGAATGCTGCCATGAATTGTAATTATGCCTTCAGATCAAATTAATCGTTCTAATGGTGATGGCCAACTGATGATTTGGTTACAAGCTTACCCTCTGCGAAGGACAGCAGCATCCAGAACCTGAGTGCCAGGGACTTGTTCATGATGTGAGTTTCTGCCCTCACACCAGATCTTTCCTGGGTATTTGACTACTGTATTGCAGAGGCATGTAGGAGGCTCCAAGTAGGAAGATCATTAACTTAAGAACTTCAGAAAGTTCAGGAAAAAGTAATGGTGGGCTTCAGTCCCAGTTTGAGGATGTGCCTCAAGTCTTCAATCAAAGCTCTGCATTCAGCTGCATGGTAGCAGATCCTCCCACAGATATTTGCAGGCACAAAACTAGAGCAGGACTTTCATTTAGTCTACTTGATGTGGAGAAACTGGTTACAGAGACTTTCCGACTGATCAACTTGAACTGCTCGTTGCTGGTCCGTGTCCTGCATTTCTCGCTTATTCACAGTTGTTTCAATCACCCGACTTTCCACAAAGGGAATGGGTTACAAAGCCTGAAGGGTTTGATACCCTTAAAGGTATAACATTGCTAGAAGATGTCAAAATAAGGGGGGAATGGTCTATCTCACTATAAAATACCTACCGTAACTACAAATCTATGTTCCTAATTTATAAAATGTCACTTCTACTGTTAATTAATGAATTATTTACCAGTCCTGAAATATTATGGTCCAACATTTTTACAGATTAAATTTCACTTGTACAGTACATATCCTACCTTCAGATCGTGTTCCTAATTATTTAGGTGCCTGGAGGAAGCATATCACAATCTTCTTGAATGCACCTACTCTAAACAAACAAAAGGATAATAAAGTGCCCTTGAAATTCAGACCCCAGTTTTTTCAGATCAAAGCAATTTGACCATTGGAGTCAAGTTCCTTTTGCAGAGCAGAGTGAAGTCTTCCATTCCTAATTTTCCTTTGATGTGTTTCCATGCACTCCATCCAAAACAGGGTATGATTGTACAGATTCAACCTATATTTGTAGAATATCTTCTGCGCAAGAGAGCTGTGTAGACATCCAGCTAAGCATGTAGAGCTGAGGAGGAGGAAGAAGAAGAAAACAGAGTTAGTAGTATAAGGAATCCTGCCTGAGTAGGGAGTTGGACTAGAAGACCTCCAGAGTCTCTTCGGAATCTGTTATTCTGTTATAGAGTTCATCCCAATGTATCAGTGTTTATCCCTGTTACCTTTATAAGATAACTGATCATCTCATAAGATCTGATAGCAAGATTCATGCAAAGAAGGACTTGATTTTGTTTTGTTGTTGCCGTTTTCTAGTTGGTAGCAAAGACAGATAGCCTTGATACCATTTGCTTGGGAACAATAATGGGATTCTCAGCCTTCCCTTGAGGAGAGCTTTCTAGATGCATTTTGATAACTATTTGAGGATCCAGAAGGTTGACTTTTGACCTGATTTGGTAGGCATCCCATAAGAAGGAAATATTGACCAAGCTGTGTGAACTCATCATAGCCATATGATCATAGTCATCCAAACAAGATGGAAAGGCATGCCTTCCAGAAGCCAGTCATAAACGCCTCACCCATCGGAGGCGGGATATAAATGGAGAGCAGAGATAACATTATGCATTGCTGACCTCAAGATAGAAAAGGTGACATGAGAAAACTTTTGCATCTTGCATTACTGCTGCTGTTCTTACCAAGATTTCACTTTTTATATTACTTTGGTAAGTCTCTGAAGCTAGTGAGTCACAATTATTCTGGAGTCTGGCTTCAACACTTTTTGAAAACAAATCCACTCTTATGCCAGAGAAGAAGAAACTGAAACGTGGAGTCATGATTTATAAGTGCAATGCATTTCGAGCCAATTTTTACTACTTACTCCATGTTCCAGAGCCAAGGAAGAAAATGATTGGTCAATTTAAATACTTTTATTAATTTTAATGTTTGGACCCCTTTTGTTATCAATGGGTTTATTGAAGCCATGTGTTTGTTTGTTTTCAACCTGAAATAGGAAACATTGATATTTCACAGAAAGTCCAGGAACTGGGAAAGAGCCTAAGTGAATGTATGCCAAAAAGAAAAAAGGGGGAGGGATATGAATTAAACTTTTCTCTCCATGTGATCTTTTTGTATCAAAGCATTTGTCCTCTTAAAATATAAGTAGGACCTGCAGTAGAAGTCGGAACATAAAAGTATTTTGCCATGGATTTCCTGGGAATGGATTTTTGCTCTCAGTGGGTCAATGGTGGGGTGAAAAATAATAGGGAAAAAGTTCCGATACTATTATTGTTGTTGGTGGTCACATAGTCAGCCAGAGGTTTAGACTGGATTTGAACATTTATCTACCTATCGAGTCTTTCCGAAGAACTTGGGACAGACAGATATTGTGTGATAGTGTTAAAGGTATTGTCGCAGGATGTAAACTGTTTTGAGTAAAGCTGACTTTTGCAATTGATTGATGATTTTATCAATGCCAATGGTGTTCAACTGATGTTCCAGATATTTTGGGATTGGTGCCTACTACTTTTCGTACTGTCTTTGATTTCTTGTTAGTTATCCTTTCCCTGGTCAAAAAAACAACAACAACCTCATGCTGGATTTTCTATAATAAAAACTACCCTATATACTCACTGTTGTGTTGGCTTTTCTTGGATATTTCTCCTTGGCCATATTTTATAAAATGACCAACTTATCTATGCAAATTCATGGAGGCAGTGACCTTAGAAATACTGATCTTAAACCCAATTATGCTCTGATATTCATCAAGGGGAAAAAATGACATTGTAAGATCTGATCTCGGTTCATGTAGAAGGCACAGATCTGGAGAATTTGCCTGCAGGATGTCAACCTCTTCGAAAGCAGACAGTACAATTATACGGTGGTTGCACTTCTGCTTCTCCATCACTTAGGTAGGTGGTATGGTGCTGTGGCTTTTACACTGTTGCTATGAAAAAAAAACAAGAAAAAGAGGTGTAGCCAGACATTTTGAAAAGTATTTTCACAACCTGTTTTGGTGGATCAGAACAATGTTTCATGAATGATCCTAAGAAGTGAACTTTGGCTGACCTGGACAACTGTCCTGCGAAATATAAATTAAAATCTACTGGATTTACTGATCTACCCAGATAAATCAAAAACATTTTTTATCTTGAGTCTCATATTTAAAAACTCTCTTTTTCAGACCTTACAACCAAATGCAGGACATGTCTCTTTCGACCTCCAGGCCATGCATGCCGCAGACCAAAACCTCCTTGTGAACTAGTTCAAGGACAGGCCTGCTTCAGACAGACAGTCTATTTCGGTAAGTATTTAATGGCCACCCTATAGCAATTCCTGATTTTCTTTGGGCAGCTTGACACAGCAATAAAGATACATATGTTTGTAAGCAACAGACATTTCTTCTCATCATGGCTATCCACAGCCAGCATCAATGCATCTTTAGGAACATTCTCAGGAATTTTAATTCTCACAGGCAAACACTCATTTATTCCTTCTCTAAGTCTCAATGGAAGGTTGTTGAGTAAACCTAGGACTTAAAAAAAATTGATCAAGGAAGTTTCTCAAACTTTTTTGTTATCTAGACCAGTGATTCTCAACCTTTCTAATGCCGTGACCCCATAATACAGTTCCCCATGTTGTGGTGACCCCCAAGTGGGTGTGGCCACCAATAAGAGGGAGTAGGACAGCTAGGGAAAAGGGAAAAAAATGGCGGACAGCGTGGTTTGGCGACCCCCGTGAAATGGTCATTCGACCCCAAATGGGGTCCCGACCCACAGGTTGAGAACCACTGATCTAGATAGATGTCAAAGGGCATAGGACCTCAATGCAAATAGATCAGGAAAGATCCCACTAAGATACCAATAGGCCTTATTTACAAAGAATGGTCCAGAATTTCTCAGCAGAACATCTGAACATTCAGCTTCCCATTCTGTCTGTTGAGTTGCCCAGTTAGCTTTCCAAATCAAGCAAAGCATGTAAGGGATTTATTGATCAGAGAAAAAAGTGATGATTTGCTGGGACATCATTTTCCAAGTGAGGAAGTCTGCCCGTTACCTTGAGAATCTCAGTAGCGAGATACTTACATTTAGAAAAAGGAAAAGCTTCGTCCATTTTTATGGTTTCATAAATGCCATGCTCAGAATGAATTAATACAGGAAATGATCCAATCTGAGATGGTCATTCTTCCAAGCTTTCAGGCTCATACTGGAGCCTATTATCAAGGAACTTCTCTGTCTCTGAAACATGTGCTTTGGACTGTTCTAGGCATTGCATTTATATGGTTCCCAATTGTGTGTAGCTTTTAGTTGCTAATTAGGATGTTCTTGGCTGGCTAGCTGGCATCATCAGTTGGTCCTAGTGACCAGTTCAGATTGGTCCTGCAACATTTCACTTCATAGCAATAGCACTTAGATGTATATACCACTTCACAGTGCTTTCCAGCCCTCTCTAAGCGGTTTACAGAGTCAGCGTGTTGCCCCCAACAATCTGGGTCCTCATTTTAGCAACCATAGAAGGATGGAAGACTGAGTCCACCTCGAGCTGGTCAGGATTCAACTCTTGGCAGTTAACCTGCAATACTGCATTCTGACCATTGAGCCACCACAGCTCTTTCAGTCATGATACATGAAAGTTTCATACCGCAAAGATGGGCTAAGCTAGAAACTTTCCAAGGATTCTGTCCTGCACACCCTACGGCCTTTGCCTGTCTGGTTGGCTATAAGCTAAACTTTCACCTCCTTGTACAACTGCCCAATCAAATGGAGCTGTTTATAAGCCCAAGAAGGAAAGGACCACCCAACCTCTTATGCTGTCTACAAGTTGTGAGAGGCTGCTTAGCATCAAGGCGTTAGATAGAACAGGGGTAAGCAACCTTGGCTCTTTTATGACTCGTGGACTTCAACTCCCAGAATTCCTGAGCCAGCTTTGCTGGCTGAGGAATTCCGGGAGTTGAAGTCCATAAGTCTTAAAGTTGCCAAGGTTGAGGACCCCTGCATTAGATAGAATGAAAAGGAAAACCTGGAGCCACAGAGATAAGCTAAATCTCTTGTCTTCTGCAGGACGGATCCCACTCTTCTCCAGAATGGGTTGCAATTCCTTTTGCAGGGATGTCAAGGAGAAGAAGGAGAAACTGATGATCACTGAAACCATTTTTTGCTGCTCTAATAAAAGTTTCTGTAATGCATAAGACAGCCTGCAACTTGGAGCTCCCTACATGTATCTGATTTACAATTACCCCAATCCCAACATCAGGAATGGCAGGTGGGAGCAGCAACATGGAAAAGCCTTCTCTGAAGTTTGCAGTTGAAACATGGCCACTGTATCTCCTCTCTCACTGAATAATCAGAGCTTCTGATCTGAAAGACAGCTTCTTCCATTATGTACCAAACACTTTGGTGAATAAAATTGCAAGTAATAATTGTAGGAGATGATCAGGCTAAGCCCAAGGGAGGGATCAAGTGTGTCATCAGTCTTGAGTGCCTTCGCGCCCACAAGACAAAGAACTGATATTTCTCAGTAGAAGTTTGAGTTCAAAACTATCAGCATTCATATGTAGAGGCATCTGGAATGAAACTGAAACAGTATCATGGAGAAGAACTGAAAAAAAATCAGGGTCTATCGATGCATATTACCTGGTTGGGTAATGAAACGTCTACAAGAAAACAACCAAGTTCAGAGAGCAGCAAGGAGCCCCCAGGGTCTACTGTCTTTTCTGCCCATATCTGCAAGCAGAGATTCCACATACAAAGGTTCCTGAGCTGTGCCAGAAAAAGGGTGCAGGTTGCTCGAACACAGCCTACACATGTACCACTTACTTGGACATACATGCCGTACAGATCATCAGATGAAAATGCCAAGGCTGGGAGTGGGAAGACCAGAACTAGTCCAAGATCCATTTGTCCCTTCCCTTCTTGCATAGGCTGATTAGCTCAAAGGAACTGGGAATGTCGAACCTCTTGGAGAAAGGTGGAGCTTGCCCTTCTGATGTGTTTGGATGCATTCATCCAAGAAAAATGATAAGGTAGAAACCAACTGCTTCCCACATCTGATTTGCAGAGGGGATATAAATTCAGAAAGGAAGTGGCATCATCGTCTGCTCTTGACTTGGGGTACAGAAAGGGGAACATGAAAACACTTCTCCCTATAGGGTTATGGATGCTCCTCACTATTGAACTAGGTAAGATTCTAAGGCTCTGTGAACTGGAGAGATTTGAGGAGATACGACTAAGTCTACTTAAGACAGGAAGAAAAGGTGATGAATGCATTTGCCTGGAAGATGTTACCATACTTTTTGTCTCTTGTGGCTGCTGTCTCTCGAACTGTCAAACCCTTAGAATTAAAAAGGTGAAATAAATGGCTATGATAAGGAAATATTACTATTATCTAGTCATTATTTCATTTTTTGTTAATAATTTTTTTTTTAAAAAAATCCAACTACTGTGGGAGTTAGGGAAAGATGTAGAAGCCTGACATTGCATGCAGATGTTTAAAAGAACAAGTGAGGCGGGTTTTTTCGCTGTGAGTTGTATCCAGCTCAGGAGAGCTACTCTTTTGTTATTTATGATTTTCTCTCTTTTATAAAATCTGTTTTTCCATTCTCTCCCAAGCTGTTGGCATTAAATGCCATAACTGCCTATTCAAGAAACCTGGTGGCAATTGCATCACTAATCAAATTCCTTGCAGACTATACATGGGCCATGCTTGCTACAAAAAGACGGTCTATTTTGGTATGTGACATAGTTATTTAGATCACAGTACTTAATTTTTTTTTCCGTTTTGTTTTAATCTTCTGTCCTACCCATCCCTCTATCAAGGAATCTGGGCCCTAGATAAAACAAAATCTATTTTTCTGGGAAGGACATGTATATGTTCCTAGGCATTCTACCATAGTAAGAGTAAAATAAACAGTAAAGATTTCACATTTCAATTATTGACAGTGGACATCTCCTAAACTGTTTCTGAGTTCTATATATGATGTGTGTATCAATGATTGAGAACTAATGACTTAGATCAGGGGTTCCCAAATGACTTAGAGCAGGGGACCCCAAATGACTTAGATCAGGGGACCCCAACTGCCGGGCTGTGGCCTATTTGCAATGGGGCCAGCACGCACACACATGCAAGTGCAGCTCAACTAGTCAGTCCAATTCCCCTCTCCCTCCCCCAGATGATCCCCATGCTGCAATGGTTGGGGACCACTGATTTAGAGCAAAACTCTTGAATTTTCTTCTGGATCTATGTATACCAGGGTTCTCAACCTGTGGGTCGGGACCCCATTTGGGGTCGAACGACCATTTCACAGGGGTCGCCAAACAACACAGTCCGCCATTTTTTCCCCCTTTTCCTTAGCTGTGCTACTCCCTTTTATTCTATTGGCTTTTGAAAGCCAATAGAATAGACTCTCTTGAATAGAGTCTAATTCTATTGGCTTTCAAAAGCCAATAGGAATTGTCCAGGCTGTCTCTGCCCTGCTGAGCCCGCCAAAAGTCCCATTCTGCAAACGGTGCTGCACCAGTTGAGTAGTCCTCGACTTACGACCGGTTGAGTAGTCCTCGACTTATGACCGGTTGGGGGTCGCAGCATTAAAAAGGTTGAGAACCACTGATGTATACGAAGCAATAATAAAAGGACAGATGCCTTTCAACATCACTGTCCTTTGAACATTAACTGCCCTTTTCATGAAACTATTGCAATGGCTCAGAAGGTAATAAGTTGCATTTCTTGGTTCCAGGGACATTGCTAGCATGCATACAGGTAGTTCTTGATTTAGGAGCACAATCGGGACCACTGTTTCTATTGTTAAACAAGGCTGGTGTTAATCACCTCAAATTTTATAACCTTTCCCCTCACAATTGTTAAACACACCACTGCAATCATTATGTGAATCCTTACATGCATCACCCTTAATACATTATTTCTTTTGCTTCACAGGCAAAATGCTTCTATTTCGTTTCCTGGGCTGTGCCCCCAAATGTATTGCAGTCTATGAGCAACCCCAAGATCAAAATATCACTCAGGTTGTTACCTGTTGTTCTAACCGAGATTTCTGCAATGCTTAAGTAAGACATGAAAGATGGGAAGATGGGGTGGGAAAGAAAAACTGTCCCCGTGCCTTTGTTTTAGGATCACTGTTGCTGCTATTAAGCAATTCTCACACAATTATTTATGACATATTATGTCATTTGTACCCTGAGAAGCTTGCAGTTCCTTAACCTGGAATTTAAGCCATAGTTCAGCTCTAGTGCCATGGTTCCAACAGATGAAACTCTTCAAAGAACTTTGAGGCATTGTTTACCTTAAAGAATCTTTATTCGAGTAGCATAGCATCGGCACGTACATAGCAAAGCCTAAATCTGATTTCCCCTCCTCTGAGCACATAGTATCAAAGCACAAGTCCCTCCTCTAATTAACGGTCATAAATCACATTCTCCAATTAGTTTGAAATGCAGGCTTTCCCTCCTGTTCCCCAACCCGCCATTTGTTATCATCTCTTATTTCAAAAAACCTTGGTTCTCACACTATTACAACATTGTTATGTCTAACTAACTCCCATACACATTCCTCCTCTTTCCCCCCCCCCAGTATCATCTAATTCCAACTCTAATTCTAAGAGTAAAACATAAGAAGGAAAATGGCTGCATCTCCATATGTTGTCAATATTTGATGTTAGCAGCATTGACATCTAGTGGAATTCTCCACAACAATCGCTAGTTGGTTGAATCTACTATACTAGATCTGTGCAATGGAAAAATTGTACCATTTTCCCCCAACATATCATTGGCTTGCAAAAGCTGCCAAGCTCTCAGTAATGAGATAATCAGCAAAGTCCCCAATTTCTTGTTGGAGGCAGAAGGCTGATATGAAAGGTCTGCATTTTAATATCTAGCAAGTTTGGCAAACCCACTGAAAATATTTATTTGCAAGTGGAAAAGAGAGAAGTTAAAGTGAAAGAAATGTTTGCTTTGCTGGGAAATTCTGGCACTGAAATACTGAAGAAGAAGGGAAGACAACCAGGCCAAAGGAGCCCAACAGAGGGCGTTTGTCCATCACAAAACCATGAATGGAGCTAAATATCCAAAGTTAGGAGAAGCTCACCAGAATGGACAGGATAAGCCAAGAGAGGGCATCTGTCTATCCTTGAAGTACTGTCAGGGAAGAAAATATATGAGTAAGTAAGGTATGGAAAGTCGGTAGGAAGATTTAGAAATATTAAAATAAACTAAAGAAGTTGGGCATTTCAGAACAAGGCAGGATAAGAAGCAATGGATGGAAACTAATCAAGAAGAGAAGAGAACCAACCTAGAACCAAGGAGAAATTTCCTGACAGTGAGAACAACTAATCTGTGGAACAACTTGCCTCTAGAAGTTGTGAATGCTCCAACACTGGAGGTTTTTAAGAAGAGACTGGACAGCCATTTGTCTGAAATGGTAGAGAGTTTCCTGGCTGAGGGGGGGGGGATTGGACTAGAAGACCTCCAAGATCCCTTCCAACTCTGTTATTCTGTTAAATAGTCTCTTCTATCATTTGAATTTTGTTGGCAAGTTTTGACTTAAATAAACAAACTTACAGTGAAACCTACAGCGTTTCAGAGGCAGGGTACGGATTCCATGCACAATATGTCATTGTTAGAATGCAGCCCAGCCACAGGATTGTCATTCCTAATAAACCTAATTGCATTGGAAAGTTGGCTCCCAGTCCTTGAGAACGCTAGAGATTGTTTCTGGTTTTTCCGCCATGCGTGTCGAACCCGTTATCCACCCTCAGGATCAGCCCAGCATTCATAAACATGTTCTTTGGCAAAGGAGTTTATCCTTTCAGTAAGCCTGCTTCAGAAAGTACAGGTGGGCCTTGACTTACGACCACAGCTGAGCCAAAAATTTATGTTGCTAAGTGAGACATTGGTTCAGTGAGATTTGCCCCATTTTACGACTTTTCTTGCCACGTTTGTTGAGTGAATCGCTGCAGTTTTTAAACTAGTAACACGGTTTTTAAATGAATCCGGCTTCCCCATTGACTCCTGCTTGTCAGAAGGGTTGCAAAAGGGGATCACATGATCTCAGGACACTGCGACCGTCATAAATGTGAACCAGTTGCCAAGCACCCAAAGGTAAATCACATGACCGTGGGGGATGCTGCAGCAGTCCTAAGTGTGAAAAATGGTCATGTCACTTTTTTTCTTTTCTTTTCTTTTTTCCAAATTTTATTTATAATACAGTTAAAAACAAACAAACATTGGACTTAACGTGACATTCCAGTGTATACATTCTTATCAGATTATTCCACTTTTTACAATCAATTCTTCATCTCTACATATACATCTAAGTTTTATATACAATACTTGTTCTAAAATAAACATGTATTTCTATCT